GTTGAGGTTGAGTAGTAGTAGCTACCCTTAGACTGTGCATGTGCTTTCCAGTTTAACACAGCCACAGCCCCTAATCCCTATTGTCTTATACCCAATCTGCTTCACTCACTTTCATTGCCTATGTGGCCTCCATAGTCATGGGGGAATTTCCATTCTGGTCACAGAACCAGGCTGGGTTTCTGTGAGAAACTCGTTTATTATTTCCCTATGAGTGTTGTGAAATAGATAACTCACCTCATTTCCCTCTTAACTCTACAAATGCACAGGCAAATTTGTGACTCAATTGCAAGAAACCTCATACATTTTATATATTAAACTTTATATTTAGTTTTTTCCCCAATCTTATCATTCTTTATCTTGAATTTTTTTACTTAAAATATCTTGCAGAAAATTTATTTAAATTTTTTTGGAACAAAGCCGTTGCATATCTATTAGGAGTAATTTCTTTAAAAAAGGAAAACTAGCCATTAGCTATGGAGCCCAAATAATTCATTTTCTTCTCCATCTCATGGAGGATGGTCAAGGGGAATGAGATAGTTGACATGGGTGTGAAATTTCTCAGCAGGCCCAAGGCCTAGAAACTCTAAAGAAAATATGATCCCTGGTGAAAACAAAAAGGAAGAGAGTTTATACACATTTGGGCAAATCATATTACAAAAAAAAAGTTGCTATATCACTACACACGTATTGGAATAGTAACGCAGAGAAACTGGATCACTCATACATTGCTAAAGAGAATGGAAAATGGTGTGGCTACTGTGAAAAAGAACATGACAGTTTATTATGAAACTAAACACATGCTTATCATACAACAGAGCAATTTCACTCTTGAGCATTTATCCCAGAGGAACAAAAATGTAGATTCATACACACACAAATGTACATGAATGTTATAATATTCAAAAACTGGAAATAACCCAGATGCTCTTTAAGGAGTAAATACTTAACTGCAGTATATTCATACCATGAAATACTACTCAGCTGTAAAAAGGAACATGCTATCAATATACATAACAACCTAGATGGATCTCCAGGGAATTATCTTGAGTAAAAAAAGATAATCTCAAAAGTTTATGTACTATATGATTTCATTCAGTACATAATGAATGAATTTTATATAACATTCTTAAAATGACAAAATCATGGTTATGGAAAAGAGATTAATGGTTGATAGGGATTGGTGGGTGGTGATGGCAGGAGGGAGGTGGCTGTGGCTATAAACGGTACATAAGGAGTTCCTTGTAATGGAACTGTTCTGTATTTTTAAAATTTTTTTATTATTATTATTGTTATTATTATAATTATTGTAGAGACAGGATCTCACTATGTTGCCGAGGCTGGACTCAAACTTCTGGGATTCTCAAGCAATCCTCCTGCTTCAGCCTCCTGAGTATCTGGGACTATAGGCATGAGCCACCACACCCAGCTATTCTCTATCTTGACTATAGCGGTAGTCACATAAAACTACAAATAGGATAAAACTACATAGAATTAAACACACACACACACACACACACACACACACACACACGACTGCATGTGCAACTGGTAAGATCTGAATAAGATTGGTGGACTGTATCAACATCGATTTCCTGGTTGTGATATTGTATTATAGTTAAGAAAGATGTTTTATTGAGGGAAATTAGATAAACAATAAATGGGATCTCTCCCCGTATTACTTCTTAAAGCTGCATGCAAATCTACATTTATCTCAAGATAAAAAGTAGAAAAAAAAAAAGAAACCACTACACAAAAGTATTGATTAAAACTTAACTTCAATCCAATTTTACCAATATTAAAGCAAAAGGATTTAGGTAATTACGTACAATTCAATAAAATAAAATAATATATATTGTCCATTATATACCTTATTGGCCTGGCAAAGAGCCTGTTTCAGTTACTATTGCTAGGTAACAAATTACCCCAAAACTTGGTAGCTTGAAAGAATGACAACATTAATTTTGCTTACAAATTTGTAATTTGAGCAAGACCCAGTGGAATGGCTCATCTCTCTGCTCCATTGGCATTGTTTTGTTTTTGTTTTTGTTTTCGTTTCTGTTTTTGTTTTGGAGGGGAAGGGAATACCTAAAGACTGGGGGCAGAAATCATTGGAAAACTCACTCACTCACCTGTTTAGTGATCAATGCTGGCTGGTTTATGCTGAGATCATGGCTGGAAATGTCAAATGGGACATCTCCATGTGACCTCTCCATATTGGTTGGGCTTTTTCATAACAAGAGGTCAATGATGACAGTCTCTCGAAAGATAGAGAGCCCAGTGGAAAGTAATCATGTTTATGAGCTAGCCTCAGAAGTCATGCAGTGTCACTTCTGCCATGGTCTCAGTCCTGTCCAGAGTTAAGGGGAGTAAACGTAGACTGCATCTCTCGATATAGAAGTGTCAACATCACAATGTAAGGTGATTGTGCTGGAAGTAATATATTATGGCCATCTTTGGCAAATGTAATTTAGTAAAGGGCCAACACAGAGTAAATACACAATGCACAATTTTAGTAAGTGAAGGAGAGAGAGTGACTAACCAAGCATATGCTTTGTTATCTCTTCTTGCACCACCCTTGCCCTCTTCTCTGCCCTGCTGGGCAAATACCTTCAGTCCCACATTTTGAAAATGTGGTTCTCAGAAATGTGTTAACACTTCTTTCCCTAGAATATATTGACTATTATGGTAGCTTTGGAATGTGTCAAGTTGGCAAGGCCGAACTACATTTATAAAATATCTCCTTTCTATATGTTTCTGGTTAAAGTGACCCACTAGAGAAATTCTTATGTAAGATTTAGAGAGCAGAAGAGAACAACAGCCATTTTGTAACTCACACACACTGTCACTGATGTGCTAACTCTCCTCGTTGGAGACAGTCAGCAGCTGGGCTTTAACTGCTCTATTCTCCCCAGACTCCTCTTTCAGATGCTGCTACTCCTGTGTAAGGTGTGTGGGTTTAGCCCTGTGATGAAGCCTCCCAAGCTTCTACAGAACAATTAAACTATTAGGCCTGTGCAAAGGTAATTGTGGTTTTGCAATTTCTTTTAATGCTAAGGTCAGAGGCAACAAGAACTGTCACAGGTTTCAGCCCATCCTTGTCTTCAGCTTGTGCTTGTGGGTTCCGGCTTATTGTTGCTTTCCTTCATTTCGTAGCCATTTTCCCTTCCCCACCTGCTTGCCCTGTGGACTTTAAGCTCTAGCGTCACAGTGGCAAAGACAACCTTACTGAGACTACTTAACCAACTTCCACAACTGTGTAAGGTTAAATCTTTTTGTGTGTGTGTCATGGTTTTCTTTCTCTAATTGTACCCTAGATAATACAGAATTTGGCATCAGAAGTCCCCAGCTCAAGTATCAAACTTCCTGTGAATTAATTTTAAACAGCTTTATTAAGGTCTAATTGGTATACATACATATTGATTAATTTTTTCATTCATCTAACATTCAACACATATTTTGTTAAGCCTATTGTGTATCTCCATTCATATAGTCTTTTTATTTTCAATAAAGTAATTTCTTTAAAAGTGGGACTAAGTATGATTTAACTTTTGATATTTTTGAAAGATCTGTTAAATAAATAGATGAGAAAATAATTTTTTTGTAGGAAAGTAAACCTCATTTTTTCTGTGGTGGAAGAGTTTTAAGTATTCAGGACTTTTCAGGAATAATTTTGTTTTATTTGGGGACTTTTAAAGTCCAGATTAAATGCTGGGATTTCAAGCTGTGAGAGAGAAGTTTTGGTTTTAGGCAGAGGAGGAGGAGGAACATTTATGTACATACTATTGTTTAGCTTTCACGTAGGCTGTGTCTTTTTAGCACCTCCTGAGGAGATGTAGAAAGGAAAACAATGAGAACAAAGAACCTCTTCACAAACATGCGTAGGCATACCCACATAGCCATTCCTGGGTATTCTTTACTCTTTGGCTCTGAGGAAGGGGAATTGAGTTGATTTGGTAATTTATCCAAAATAGTCTCCATCAAACCATCTCATGATAGTCTTTCTGACAGAGGCTACTTAGCTGCTTTTAAACTGCATAAATCACAATTTGAAATCTTTTTCACGGAGGGAAACATTACTGTGACTCATTTTTCCTTGAAGATAGATAAGCAGCAGCTCATGCATTTTTAGAGAGTTCGTATTTCTGTGGAGCTACATCTATTTTGCAATTTAAAGATTTCATTTTCGGCTGGGCACGGTGGCTCATGCCTGTAATTCCAGCACTTTGAGAGGCCAAGGCAGGCGGATCACTGGAGGTCAGGAGTTTGAGACCAGCCTGGCCAACATGGTGAAATCCCGTCTCTACTAAAAATACAAAAATTAGCTGGGCATGGTGGTGCACGCTTGTAGTCCCAGCTACTTGGGAGGCTAAGACAGGAAAATTGCTTGAACCTGGGAGGTGGAAATCGTGGTAAGCCGATATCATGCCACTGTACTCCAGCCTAGGTGACAGAGCAAGACTCCATCTCCAAAAAGAAAAAAAAAAGGTAGCAAGGAGATGCTGTACCAGCTACTACAGCCTTAAAACAAAGTTGGTGTCTCTTTGGACTTTAAAATTGTTCCTATGCAGCTTATTTTATTTTTGTTTAATCAAATAAACAAGAGGGTTTTTCCATGGCAAAAAAAAAAAGATTTTATCTTCATGACTGACTAATATTAAAAGCCTGTAAGACCCCTTAGACTTTGTTTAATTATGTGTAATGTCCAGAGTACCTAGCATTTTTGTGATGTCTAAATGTTGAAAGATTTAAAGCACATTACTTGGCCAGAGCTTCTGAGTCTTCACACATCAAAGTATACAAATGAAGAAAAAAAATATATACCTACGTTTTATCTAAATTAGACCAATGCAACTGCTACACACATGGGATACACTGGGTTGACTGTCCCAGTTGTTAATATATTTAAACATTTCCATACTGGTTGGTCAAGAGATGCTGCACCAAGCTCCACAACACTCCCCCTCCACCTGCCACTGAAGCTACCTCTGCTCCTCCCCTAGGACCCCACAGAACACTCTTTGTCCCAGCAAATAAAGAACTATTGCACACCACATTGGGCTGCCTTCAGGACCCTGCTCCAATATTCAGGTGGGTCTTCAGTCCAGTGCCTGTGCTATATACCGGTATTAAATATTTTGACTATCTCTTGTACACACGTGGTAGAGAAATGGCTGGCATGGAAGTTAGGGGATTTAAGTTGAGTCCTTGATTAACCTCTGATATGGTTTGTTTGTGTCTCCCTTCAAATCTCAACTTGAATTGTATCTCCCAGAGTTGCCACATGTTGTGAGAGTGACCCAGAGGGAGGTAATTGAATCATGGGGTATGGTCTTTGCTGTGCTAATCTTGTGATAGTGATTAAGTCTCACGAGATCTAATGGGTTTGCCAGGGGTTTCTGCATTTGCTTCCTCCTCATTTTCTCTGCTGCCACCATGGAAGAAGTGCCTTTTGCCTCCCTCCATGATTCTCAGGCCTCCCCAGCCATGTGGAACTGTAAGTCCAATTAACCCTCATTTTCTTCCCAGCAATGTAAAAATGGACTAATGTAACCTCTCTGAACCTCATTTTCTCCCATTTGCTTATTTATTTAAAAAATTATTTGGCTGGATGGGATGGCTCACACCTGTAATCCCAACACTTTGGGAGACTGAGGCAGGTGGATCACTTGAGGCCAGGAATTTGAGACCAGCCTGGACAGCATGGTGAAACCCTGTCTCTACTAAAAATACAAAAATAAGCTGGGCATGGTGGTGCATGTGTGTAATCCCAGCTACTTGGGAGGCTGAGGTACAAGAATCACTTGAACCCAGGAAGTGGAGGTTGCAATGAGCCAAGATTGTGCCACTGCACTCCAACCCAGGTGACAGAGCAAGACTCTGTCTCCGAAAAAAAAAAAAGAAAAAAAATTTTTTAGAGACAGTTTTGCTGTGTCACCCAGGCTGAAGTACAATGGCAATGATCATGGCTCACTGCAGCCTCAATCTTCTGGACTCAAGCAATCCTCCCACCTCAGCCTCCTGAGTAGCTGGGACTACAGGGGATGCACCACCATGCCCAGCTAATTAAAATATTTTTTTAGCCTACATTGTCTCTTGGAGAGTCTTGCTATGTTGCCCAGGCCAGTCTTGAACTCTTGTCCTCAAGTGACCCTCCCACCTTGGCTGGCATGAGCACTCAGCCAGTTTCTCCCATTTATAAAATAGGAGGTTTGGACTAGATTATAGCTAATGACCTTTTGAGTTCTATTCTGGGATTCAGTGATTTAGATAGATCAGAACATTTTTCATTTTTATCTGGAGGTTTTGGTGTCTTACAGAGGGAAAAGAATGGCTAAAAGGAGTTGGATAACTTGTTCCAAAAAGCTGGCCAAGCAGTTGGACTTGTCAAGAAAAAAGGCAGTGGAAGCAAAATAGAGAACACTGTATAAAATCCCTGCCCAACTATGCTGAGAAAACCATTTGCAATTCTGATTCTAAAACCTCTAAAAAAATTCATATTGGAGGTGGACAGTTCCCAGAGAAGGGCAGCTGAGAGATTGGACAAGCTGGTGATCTCTTTATTTGAAGGCAGATTAAGATTTGTGATACTTCTGCTTGGAAAAGCAAAGTTGAATAAGAGGGTCAAAGACTAGACATTTTTGAAAGACATAGAGGGACAATCACTGACTTACTCATCAAGCCTTTATAATCCTGCACCTGGAAAACAGCTCTTAAAGATTGAAAGGGCTAAATTTAGAGTCACGGTCTTCTCTGCACACCGGTAAGTGTGAAGTCTCGGTGATAATACTTGTGAGACTTGTTACCCCAAGAAGTCCTATGAGCTGTTTACACTGATCCAAATAAGGTGGATGCTAGTTTATGGTGATGCATCTATAAAAACGGAGGGACACTGATGTTCAGGGCACATCAGGGAAGGCAGTGCTGATCTCTTCTAACCCAGTATAGCCACTCTCCAAGAGAGAATATAGGCCAAAATGACACCTAGGTATGCTTCCAGAAGGCATTTAGCTTTTTTTTTCCCCCCCTTTTTCGTTTTTCTTTATTTTCTTATTGTTATCTCATGGAAGTAATGAATGATCACTTGCAGCAAGAAAATTTAAACGGTTCAGAAGACTGTGAAATTAAAAGTAAGTTTGTTCCCCTGCCAACCACTGTTCTTCTTAGAGGTAACCGCAGGAAAATTTGCCTGTCCATTTTTATTTGTACAAAAATATATGTATGATCATATACATATACTTAACTTAATATCTTAGGTACCTCTATATGAGGACACGTCCACGTATTTAATTATTTTAGTGACTAGATTCCATCATGTAAATAAGTCATAATTTATTCAACCTACTAATGAACACTTTGTTTCCAGCATTTGCCACATTTGCAATGTTACAATGAGTATTTTTGTATCTTGTATATATCTTGTACTTGAGTCCACTTGTTTGTTAGGGTGCTTTTATACAGTGAAGTTTCTGGGAAAAGTATTGCTACATTAAATTATATCACATAATACATTTTGATAAAATGGCCAAGTTTTTTCACCAACTTATGCTCTGTTTATGAGTGTTCCACTTTCCCTATGCTATCATGATATGACAATTTCTATATTTCCATGTCTTTATGCATCTCCTCCTGGCTAAGCAAAAATGTATTCAGTTAAGTATATTACTACACTCCTAAAAGCACAGATGTTATGAGGATAGCAAAGTGATATAAATAAGCTTTGGAACTTGGAGAAATGCCATATAACAATATCTCTGTTGGCCAAATGGATACAATCACATAGAGTTTTCTGAGGAATTTTATTCCCAGGTCCCCAAACAGGGTATTAGATCTGAATTTCATTTTAAAATTTTATTCTGTTATACATATCATTCATAGAAAAGAGTATGCCTTGGAATGTATAAAGAATGAACACCTGTGTAGAATCTTGTTTATGGCAATTAAAGGTTGAGTTGACTAAAATAATGGTAGTTTTCATCTCTGTCAACCTGATCATTAGGTAGATCACACATCCTCCTCTTCCTGCATCGTTCTTTGCCTCACCCTCCCTCTACCTGTATACAGTAAAGTAGATTTAATTAATAGAGCTTATCCCTTTAATTTTGTGACTATTTTGAATGAGTTATTTACAGCAAACATTGTGGGTTTGTTTGAATTAAAAAACAAAGGGATTAAGATGTCATGTATCCCAGGATTATATGCACATTACTAAAAACCAGAGCCTTACATCCAAGACATGAAACACTAGCTGTGAATTTTCCAGCATTAACAAACAGATGGGAACATAGTTGATGGGGTGGACCTGGAGGGAGACCTATGTGAGGTAGGTGTGTGTGTGTGTGTGTGTGTGTGTGTGTGTGTGTGTGTTGGGGAGGTCGGGTGGTGGTCCATGTGCTTCTGAAACACACCTGCTGTCTCCAGTTATGTAATTTGGTGAAAGAATGCCAGGACTTGGCAGCTAAATGATGGTAAGAAATAGCTCTTCTCTCTCCTCTGCCTCAGCTTGCAGCATATGGTCCCAGAGACTATTACAGGCAGGAAGATAACCTGGATGTCCCATGCCTGAGCCAGTTCTCACCCTATTCTATCCCAGCTGCATGCTATAGCACCACAGAAACACAGACCTTTGTATGTCTGATCAAGAGGAAGGTATTTTTCAAGAAGGAATGTGGAAGCTAAACTAGAAATTTCAGCAGGCTTATAGCTCTGGGCATTGGTTTTTATCACTATGGCTTCACTTCCTACACCCTGTGACCATGGACACTCACTGGCTTCATGTTGCTTTTTCACTTGAACACCATACAGCATTTTTTAAGCCTCAGTAGTCAGAGGGATTTGTTTGCAGAACCTAATTCTCATACAAAATAAATAAATAAATAAGAATCACTTCCTCTTTTGCAAGGCTGCCAACTTGTTTACTTCAAGAGGCAATTATGTTGCCAAAACCACACTGATAAATAATCTCCTTGTGTTTGAATTTTAAAATGAAGCTCTCTAGAGGGTTAGGCTCAGAAAGAACCAATGATAACTTACTTTGCTGGACTCAAACTCCAGTTAAAATTAGCATCTTAAGAAGAATTTCTTTTTTCTATTTTGGGCTGAAAGAAAGAATAATGATGAAAGGGAGTTAAGACTTACCTTAGTAATTAGAGAGTCCCAATGGATTAGACTTGCTAATAGAAACCCAATTAAAACACATTTTGGAGGGATTTTGTTAGAACTTGTAAATACCCCAGAGCTGGTTCTGGATTGTCAGCTTTTTTTTTCTTTTAAGTTTACAATTACGTTTTTGTTTTATGTTGGATAATAAGTAGGACTAGAGAAAATCAGTTTCTATTAAACCATGTGCAAGTCTCTAGTACTTTAGAGCTTCAGATAGCTTCATAATTTCTTGTAGTCCACATGTCATGGCCCATCCTTTCATCAAAGAAGCCCACCATTAGTAGAAGAATCAACATTGCTTCACTTGTGTCTGGAGATTGGAAAATGCTGCACTTAGTAAGTTCACAGCCTCACTACCAACAGGCAAGCACCTGCCAGGTTGAGAGGGTACAGCCATCTGGAACAGCAGAGAATGGGGTGAGGAAAGCTTTTTCAATTTGCAGAGAAAGCAATTACTACATAAAATGAGTGAGATGGAACAAAAAAATGAATGCCCCCTCTAACCACCTGCTGTTCTAGATCTAGAAATAATTCAGTCCTTTGGTTATTTGCAGGGAGCTTTGGGAAGAAAACACATTTCATAAATCCCCATGGCTAGAGAGATTGCTACAATAGTTATCATCAGGCCTATTGCCCCTGGATTCCTGCAGACTTTTACATGACTCTGTTGACTCTGAGTCACCAGCACCTGCTGCTGTGAGGAACCTTTAGGTCCTCACTGCTGATAAACTCAGCATGAGAGTCTGGGAGTGATGGATCCAAGAAGATGAAATGGCTGCCTTGGGCTCATTGCAGGTATTAACACTCTCAGTTTTACCTCAGGTGCAAGTCAGAAGATTGCAATGATAAAGTTTATTCCTTTAACCCACTGCACTACGAGTCTGACAATATACAGTCACGGACCACATAGCTTCAATGGGCAATTATGTCACTGCCTCTTGAAATTATGTTTCAGTCAACCACAGACCACATATATGACAGTGGTCCCATAAGATTAAAAAGAGCTGAAAAATTCCTATGATGTCTGCCTAGTGACATCGTAGCTATCATAATGTCATAGCACAATGCATTACATCTTTGTGGTGATGCTGGTGTAAACAACCTAAAAGTATAGCATATACAATTATGTACAGTATATAGTATTTGAATATAATAAAGTACTGTTACTGATTTATGTATTTACTGTACTATATTTTTATCATTATTTTAGAATGTACTCCTTCTACTGATTAAAAATAAAAGTTAACTGTAAGACAGCCTCAGGCAGGTAGGCAGGTCCTTTCGGGGGTATTCCGGAAGGCATTGTTATCATAGGAGATGACAGGTCCGTGCATGTTTTTGCCCTTGAAGACCTTCCAGTGGGACAAAATATGGAGGTGGAAGGCAGGAACACTGATGTCCTGACCCTATGTAAGCCTTGGCTAATGTGTGTGATTACATTTTTGTTTTTAACAAAAAGTTTAAAAAGTCAAACAATAATTTTCAAAATAGAAACAAGCTTATAGAATAAGGATATAAAGTTATCATTGTACAGCTATATAAAGTGTGTCTTACACTGTTATTACAAAACAGTAAAAAGTAAAAAGTTTTTAAGTTTATAAAGTAAAAAGATTACAGTAAACTAAGGTTAATTTATTAAAGGAATAAAAACGTTTTTATAAATTTATTGCAGTCTAAGTGTATAGTGTTTATATCTACAGTAATGCACAGTAATGTCCTAGGCCTTCACACCCACTCACTACTCACTTACAGACTCAACCAAAGCAACTTCCAGTCCTGCAAGCTCCGTTTATGGTAAGTATCCTATGCAGGTGTACCATTTTTTATCTTTTATACCGTATTTTTACTATACCCTTTCTATGTGTAGATACATAAATGCTTACCTTTGTGTTACAACTACCTACAGTATTCAGAGCTGTCACATGCTATACAGATTTGTAGCCTAGAAGCCATGGGCTACATCACATGGCCTGAGTGTGTAGTAGGCTCTGTCATCTAGGTTTATGTAAGTATACTCTGTGATGTTCATACAAGGACAAAATCTACTGACACCCCATTTCTCAGAATCTATCCCCATCATTAAGCCACTCATGACTGTACTGGAAAGAGCCTTTTATTGCATCTGCTTTTAGAATTCCAGGACGCTTTCCTGTGGTCTTCATGATGCTGAGCAACAAATATTTAGCTCAGTGATTAATCAGCCCAGTTCTTAGTTTCATTTCCCCAAGAAGGAAACATCAAGACAAATATTCAAATGCATGTAGCTTGTTTGGGAGGTGACTTCAAGGAACACTGTTAGGTGAATGGGGAAGTAGGATAGATAAGAAGAGGAAAATGGACTGGGTGTGGTGGCTTATGCCTGCAATTTCAGTACTTAAGGAGACCAAGGTAGGTGGATCACTTGAGCCCAGGAGTTCTAGACCAGCCTGGGCAACATGGAGAGACCCTGTCTCTACAAAAATTAGCCAGGTATAGTGGCACACACCTGTAATTCCAGCTACTCTGGGGGCTGGGGTGAGAGAATCACCTAAACCTGGGAGGTAAAGGCTGCAGTGAGCCATGATCATGCCATTGCAGTCCAGCCTGGGTGACAGAGCAAGACTTTGTCTCAAAAAAAGAAAAAAGAAAAGAAAGAGGAAAACAATACCAAGTTTTCCAGCAAGATACCACTGTAGAATCCCCAGAGAAACTTCAAGAGACAATATAGAACAGGATTTGGCAAACTACAATCCATGGGCCAAATCTTGCCTGGTTTTGTACAGCTTGTGGGCTAAAGAATGGTTTTGATGGTTAAAGAACATCAAAAGAAGAATTTTGTGACACATAAAAATTACCCCCAAAATCAGATTTTAGTATTCATAAAGTTTTGTTGAAGTGCAGCAATGCTCATTTATTTACAAATTGTTTATGGCTACTTTTGTTGTACAAAATTGCAACTCTGTACATTGTGGTAATCTCTATACAGCAGAGTTGAATAATTGTAATAGATATATTGTCACTAGCAAGGCCTAAAATATTTACTGTCTGGGCCCTAACAGAAATAGTTTACTGACCTGTAAGGTAGAACATGCACCTCAGAGTTACCCATCTGAGCAGCTTGAGAGCTGGGGTACTTATCCAACCAATTTCCATTCCTCATGGGATAAGGGCTGCTCCTGGACCGCTTTTATTTCCCAGCACTTAATAGTATGCATTGCCATAAATGGAGAATACCCAGGAATTATGGATTCTCTGAAAATTCGTGCTCAAGTCAAAAAGACATAATTACATATGTTCCCTAATTAAACATGAAAACGTGCATTTTATAAATTCCTAGTTTTTCAAATTTCTGAGTAAACTCAGTTGTATTCTGGGTCCAAGACCACAGATTGAATTAAATATTTCTGCCTATTTCTCAATTATGGATTGAATTAAGCAATACCACAAGTTATATATAGAAGAGTATTAGATTCCAACTATGTTGCCTCTGTGGAGCATGGCTGATAGTATAAAGTACCTTTTCGTAATCCACAACAATCCATGATAATGAGTAAGTTGGAGCTGAGAATGTCATTTTCATATGCATAACTTCACCAGGTGAATAGTGAGATATTTCAGTTAGAATAATATCAAAACCCAAATGGAGATGTTTATAGATTTAATTTCATATTTAGCAATATTATGCTTGTGAATAACTGAAAATGATAAAACATAAAAGGCAGAAGCATTGTCTAAATAAATGTAAAGCAAAGTCAGTATTCACTGAGGCAAAACATGTTCAGGTAGCAGATTCTAGATACCAGTCATTCTCGAGACTATATCCT